ATTTTTATTATTGCCTCCTATAATTACTGCAATAAAGTTTCCAAGTCGCGGATAGTTTTGATGGAATGTTCTGCTAGCAGAAGTTATTTTAGTTTGAACGTTATTAAGGGCGCCAGTAATTCTAAGGGTATTTAGCTCATTTTTACTTTGTTTATCATGATAAGGCAAAATTACTAATTCAAATTGCTTAAAGGGCAAATTAGGGTGCATAATTTGAATAATTTTTATTTTATTACCCGATTTACGTCTTAAATAGCTCGCTAAGCTTGCCGTTCTTCTACCGGAAGAGATAATTACATCAGGTAATTTACCTGTCTTACTCAAGTGGAGTAAATTAGTTTTAACATGAATAGGAGCTATAGTCAGCAAGAAATTGGGCAACTTAGCCCAGAAATTATATTCAATAGGTTTTAATTCGTAGTTCCATCCTGTTTGTTCTGCTAGCGCGATAGCTTGGTTTAGGTTACCAATTCGACTATCAGCAAGGATCCATACTATAAGCTGCTTTTGTAGTGTATTATAAGACATATTTTATTTACAATTATTTTAAGCTTTTTGAATTGTTAATCCTTCAGTTGCCTTTGCTATATTAACCGTATCACCGCTTTGAATATTACCACCAAGAATCAGCTTAGCGAAATTATTTTGTAGTTCTCGCTGGATAACTCTTTTTAAAGGTCTAGCACCAAACATAGGGTCGTATCCTTTATCAGCCAAATAATTTATTGCAGATTCCTCAAATTGCAAGGTAATATTTTGTAAAGATAGAATCTTTTGTAAAGTATTGAGCTGAATTTTAACTATATCCTGGATGTTATCTCGGCTTAATTTGTGAAACATAATAATCTCATCAAGCCTATTTAAAAATTCTGGTTTAAATATTGCTCGCACATATTCCATTATTTGTTCTTTAATTTTACTGTCTTCATCTTCTACTTTTTGATTAATAAGTATTTCGGCGCCAATATTAGAAGTCAGAATAATAATGGTGTTCTTAAAATCGACAGTAACACCTTGGCTATCAGTTAAATGCCCTTCATCGAGGATTTGTAGCATTATATTAAAAATATCAGAATGAGCTTTTTCTACCTCATCAAATAAAATAACTTGATAAGGTCTTCTACGTACTGACTCGGTTAATACTCCTCCTTGTTCGTAGCCTACATACCCTGGAGGAGCCCCAATCAAACGGGAGATAGAATGTTTCTCCATATATTCAGACATGTCAATCCGAAGTAAAGCATTACGATCATCAAATAAAAAATGAGCTAGTGCTTTAGTAAGTTCAGTTTTACCAACCCCGGTGGGTCCTAGGAATAAAAAGGAACCTAAAGGCTTATTCACATCTTGCAAACCAGCTCGAGCACGACGTACCGCATCACTTATGCTTTTAATAGCTTCATCTTGTCCTATTACCGCTTCACGAATTTTTGCCTCCATGTTAAGAAGTTTTTCACGTTCACTGGATAACATTGCTTCAATTGGTATGCCCGTAATTTTAGAAATAATTATTGCTATATCATTTTCGGATACCACTTCCTGAAAGGTAGTATTGTGCTCAATAGACATTGCTTGTTGTAGCTTGTTAGTTAAATCAGGAATAACTCCATATTTCAACTCACTAGCCCGTGCAAGATCACTAGACCTTTCTGCTCTGTCTAATTCTAATCTAGCTTTTTCTAACTCTTCTTTTAATTTTTGTTCAATTTGAATTTTGTCTTTCTCTGCTTGCCAATTAGCAGTTAAGTCATAAGAAAGAGTTTCAAGTTGTTGTAATTCCTCGGTTAAAGTGATAATTTTCTTTTGGGAAATGTCATCATTTTCTTTTTGAAGAGCAGCTAATTCTATTTTTATTTGAATTATCCGGCGATCAAGTTCGTCTAATTCTTCTGGTTTACTAGATAATTCTATTTTTAGCCTACTACAGGCTTCATCAATTAAGTCAATTGCTTTATCTGGTAAATAACGATCAGTAATATATCTATTAGATAAAGTACTAGCAGCGACAATCGCACTATCCGAAATCCTTACCCCATGATGTAATTCGTATTTATCTTTAATACCCCTTAAGATAGAAATCGTATCTACTACAGTTGGTTCACTAACATACACTGCTTGAAACCGTCTTGCCAGGGCTGCATCTTTTTCAATATACTTACGATATTCATCTAAAGTGGTAGCGCCAATACAATGCAATTCTCCTCTTGCAAGCATTGGTTTAAGTAAATTTGAGGCATACATTGCTCCTTCTGTTTTACCAGTACCTACTAAAAGATGTAACTCATCTATAAATAAAATAATTTCTCCGATTGAGTTTTTAATTTCCCCTAATACTGCTTTAAGACGTTCTTCAAACTCTCCTCGGTATTTAGCTCCTGCAATTAAAGCGCCCATATCAAGTTCTATAATGCGACAATTCGCTAGCGTTTCTGGAATATCATGGGCAAACATTCTTTGAGCTAGCCCTTCGATTATGGCAGTTTTCCCAACCCCTGGCTCTCCTATTAACACGGGATTATTTTTCATTCTTCTTGACAAAACCTGGATAGTCCTTCTAATTTCTTCATCTCTACCAATTATTGGGTCTAATTTCCCTAGTTCTGCTAGTTCTGTTACATCTCTTCCATATTTCTTTAAAGCATCATAACTTCCTTCTGACGATTCACTATCTGCCTTTTTACCCTTTCTCAGAGAGAGAATAGCGGCACTGATTTGTTTATCAGTAATTGCATTATCTGATAGAATTGTCCCAGCTGCCGTTTTGTCATATGATAAAGATTCAAAAATTCGTTCCACAGTTATAAATTTATCACTATGTTTTTTAGCAAGTTCAGCAGCCTTATCTAACAATTTTATTGTTTCTGAAGATAGATATAACTGACTACCTCCTTGTACTTGTACTTTTGGGATTTTAGCAAGTTCAATTGTCAGCAAGTTATTTAGATTATCTAAATTAGCTCCTAAAGTGTTAATAAGATTAATAACGACCCCGCTTTCATCTTTTAATAAAGCAGCCAATATATGTAGAGGTAATATTTGTTGATGATCGTTTTTTGCCGCTAGATTTTGAGCGTTAGAAATTACAGATTTGGCGTGGGTAGTAAATTTGTCTATATTCATTTTATCACCTCATAAATTTAAAAACATTGGGTCTAAGTACTATATAATGAGAGTAATTGTATAATGCAAGATATCAATTATTGGAAACTATGCACTTTTACGCGACCATAGATGAGTACAGGCTTATTATCCCAAACGAAGTGAAACAAATGTTAATCAATAAGAGTATATAGAAGATGAAACGTTGAAATATGATACAAGGAATGATTGTTATTATTACTATAGCAGAAAATAGTAGGGGCTCTTTTAACGCTAAATAGGCTAAACCGAATAAAGTAAGTAATAACCCTGGAAAGCCTATACCAAATGACCGCACTACCTGGGACCACAAATTGTTATCATGAGTATATTGATAACATACAGGAATGTTGTCAGTAACTAAAAAAGCAGTCAATATATTGACGGATATAAATATTAAAATACGTTTAAATATGCGATTATTAAGAAAATGAAAATTAAAACCCATATAATTACCCTCTTAATTAAATGAAAGAAAAGCGAAATATTAAAGCATTGGTGCGGAACAGTCACCTGTTTCTCGGCAATTACCCTATTAACTCAATCAATTACCTTGATTATTTTGCCTAAATCTTATAGAAATCTTCTAAACCAGTTAAGGTTATAAATTATTTAAATTATTTTAGAACATAATGAACCATAACATATTCAATCTAGTAGCAGCTGCACTATTATCTCTTGGGATTATTGTCGGTTGGCAATATTTTTATGATAAACCAAGATTAAAAAAAATTGAACAACAAAATAAAATATACCAACAAACTCAGCAATTAAGGCAACGAGCATTAGAGCAAAATAAGATATTCTTACCCTCTAGTCACGAAGCGCAAGCTGTTACTATATTACCGCGCGTTAAGATAAATTCTAAGGTGCTTTCTGGGTCTATTTCCTTAAAAGGGTTACGGTTCGATGATTTAATCTTATTAAATTATAAGCAAGATTTATCTGCAGATAGTAAGGCAGTAATATTATTTTCTCCCTCTACTTCAGAAGAAGCGTATTTTGCTGAAATAGGTTGGTTCAGTAGTAACCACCAGCTAGAGCTACCAAATAGTGATACCCTTTGGAAAGCTGATAGTGAGGAAATAACTCCTGCAAAGCCTATTAAGCTTTCCTGGATTAACCAAGCGGGAATTAAGTTTCTAGTGACTATAAGTATGGATAATAATTACTTATTTAAAATAGATCAAACTATAGTAAATAATAGTAAAAACTCCATAGCAGTGCAATATTATGGCCTAATTAATAGACAGTATCAAGCTAAGGAAAAGGCCGTTACTATTCTGCATCAGGGCCCAATAAGTTCTATTGATGGGCGGCTTAAAGAATATTCTTTCGATGATATAAAAGATAAGAAGGGCGTTAAATTTCCTCTAGCTAGAGTTGAGTGGATTGGTATAACAGATAAA